TATTCACCAAATACAAACAGATTTTGCTGTGCCCAGGATACACAGGTAGACACAGTCACAGCCGATGGAAGGAAGTGAGGAAGCTGGCTGAGACAGACACCTCTCAACTTCTTTCTCTGGAGCATTCCTTGCTCCCTTCCTCCAGCAGCATGATCTTGGTACCTTGTCTCCGCCCAGGGCTTCTGTCTCTCCACCAAAGGGAACATGTGAGCAAACAACTATGGTGGGGACCTGCCTCTTTCTCGCTGGCTGGGCTCGCTCAGGGCAGACAAGGGATTCTGAGTGTCTTAGGGGTCCAGGGGTAGATGCCACGTCCTGTTTCTGACACAGCGTGGCTGTGCGGACCGAATAACGTTCTGCCTCTGACCGGCTGCATGGACTGCAGAGGAGTGCACGAGTGTCCGGGGAAACAGAAAGTGCAGCTTTGTTTCTCCACCTTCTGTTTCAAAATTCTTGGCTTGCAAGTAGCTCTTGGTCCTGACTCTTCACCGAGTTGGGTCAAAGGAAGTTGTGCTTGGGACTTACTCTCCAGGAAGGAAAGGAGGGCTTCCTTTCCCTGACCCGTGGAACCAGCGCCATGCACTTCCTCCCCGCCCTTCTCTCCTAAACGCTGATCCCAGCGCCCTCTGGTGGAAATCTCGAGCAATTGCCCCGTAGACCCAGGGCAAACCCAAAGGCCCAGATGAGTGGGGTTGAACTCCGGGAGAGTGCAAACTGGGGCACCACGTGACTCCAGGGGACAGGCTCCAGTCAGGTCCAGCTGATTATAGACCACGCATTACTAGATATTTTGACTTTTCAAGACAAACTAGAAACGTCTTCATTGGAAAAAAAACAAAACCAAAACCCACTGTATAAGGCAAAGAGAATAAGCTGTCAGTGAGAGTCTGGGCTTGCAAATCATGAGGAAGCCTTGATTTCTATGGAAAAGATGAAAACCGTTGATAATGTTTAATCCCAACACATAAACAAGGAACAATCTTGAAAATAGAAATATTTTATATGAAATAGGAAAATCATAACTAGGAATATATTTGACAAAGAGAAAAAAAAGAACAAGCTTATATTCATTTGCTTCTGAGGTTCCCCATTTATATTTGCTTGTTATACTGAGTTTTTTTCTTTACGTCTTATATTAACCAGCAGAAACTAGGAGATTTCAGTAAAAATTTTGTGAGGAAAAATACAAAAGAGAAAAAATTCCTTTCAATAGGTTCCCCCCCCCAGCTATTTAGGAAAAAAATTAATTATCCTAAAGGTACTATTCACTAGCTTATTACCCCAGTATAACAATTATTTTGCTTATGTTGTAATTATTTGTTTCTACATCTTGGACATTGGGAATCTACCCACAGGTGGCTGTATCTCTTTCAAAACACCTTGTAGATTAGAAGCTGACTGGCGCAACTTTTGCTCACCAGGGCTTGTACACAGCTAGATTCACTGCAAGCAAGATAATTGAAAAATGTATTTTAAAATGCTTTTATTTCTAAATATTTTTAATACATAATAATTTTCATTGTTCAAAATGCAAAAAGTAGAAATGAGTGTACAAGTGAAAAGCTTCCATCTCTCCTGTGTTTCCAGCCACCCAGTTTCTCTTCGGTTGGTAAATGATGTTACTCATTGTTTATATCCTCTGGCTAAAGACCACATTCCTCTACACACAGGATAATTCTTTCTACCACCCGGGGTGGCTTATCTTTCCAGTCCTCTCCCTCCAGCCAGACTTCGTCCTCTGCTTTCCAGACTGCTGAGTTTAGCTCCTCAAAACGCTGTGCCCTGGGTCACCCTTTCTTCATTTAGCAAAACGTTCCTGAGCAGTCCGGCCTCAGTTTCTGTGTTGGCAGTGGGCGCTCCAAGCGCCCTCCCTCCACGCCTCCTCTAATTCTTCTCACCTGGTAACCTAATTGCCTGTTTACTCATGTGTATCCTTGTCTCCTGGCCCCTTGAGATCTGAGACTTTTCAGTCATAAAAGACTAACGGCCAGGGTCTAGCACAGCAGGGCTGCAATGAAAGCTGGCTTCCTCCCAACCACAATCGGCCGCTGGTTCTCCAGGACTTGTGAGTCCTCAGCTTCTGCAAGTTCTCGGGTTCACATTTGGCAGGTGAGGCCTAACCTCCCTGGGTGTCCCTACCCCAACTCCCCCAACTCCCCCAACT